TACAACAACAATATTAAATTTTTAAACCACAAAAAATCCTTTGGTTCTTAAAATGATTTTACAGATCGAGTGCCTAAAAATGTTACAGCCTTCATAGTTCCTACCTCCCACTTCAAGTCATAAAAGCAGAAAAATAAAGAAAAACTTTTGTGAGAACGATAGACGATGGCACTCATGTAAAACCAATGAAAATGCTGGCTATATGATAAATGTTGGGAAGCAAAAATGTGTCGTTTTTCAAACTTTATTTTGTAATTTTTTTAATTATTTACATATGTGGAGTTTAACAAGTATCTCTTAAAGGACGACTACTATTAGCAGACACATGTGTTTTCTGTTCCATTAATGCAATTTAAAAAAACCCAACGTTAAGTTATGTTCATATAAAAACAAAAGGGGCGTTCCAATAATATTCAATAGAGCAAATTCCAATGTGGACTTGTTGCTTTACTTAATCCAAAATACTGTGGATCCTCAGTTACTTAGCACAGTGAAAAGTCAGGGAATGTGTGGCAAATAACTGTAGGCGTTAACGAGCCTGCGCATTACTACGGTGGGTGGTTGGCCATAGAATACATTGCTCTGCCAGAGGGATGTTGGTATCCAAAACCCAACAAAAATCTTACAACAAATCAACTATTGTGTTTGCGTAGAAATGCAAATAAAACGTTCAGGATTCCGGAGTATAGCTATGCGTTGCAATGTGTATGAATGCGACAGCAGTAGAGCGTGCCGATATGGTTTGACAGCTATGGAACTGGGTGGGTGGTTGGACTTCACAGGGTTTAATGTTGATTTGTATAATTTTATTGCATACAAACAAAGTAAGTAGCATTGCGACAGGTGACCTAATGATACGTAGCGCAGGATTTCATTTAGTTCACTTTAACGGTCTGTTGCGAAAACTACATGCGAAAAAACTCCGCGACGATAAAACTATAGAAAATATTTGGACACTTTTATGTGGAGCTTTAAAATATCATATAATTTAAAACGAAATAAAATTAATTTAAATATATTAATTTTAAAATAAAATTACTGTTAAGTTAATAAGTAATTAATAAGCTAATTAAAAAATTGAAAAGTGAGTTTAAAAATTTAAAAAAAAAGAATTATAGTATTTAAAATGACAAGTTTAGAATATTTTAAAATAGTAAATAATTAATATGTAATATAAATCATTAATTATTATTTTTAAATAATACATAGATGTGAGAAAAATATTTCTATTTTGCTGTAAAAAATTAAATTAAATCAAGTTTTTGTGCAATTAATAAGAAGTGAAAAATTTATCGATATACAAAAAAAGTAGGTATTGAAAAATATTCTGTTGGACCGACATTTTCAAAACCAAAAAATTGTAATCTTTATTTTAAAATTTTTTATATATTTTTATTTATTTATTTATTTTCTTTTTTTTAATAATTAAGTATATTTTGCAGTTATTCTCTACTGTTAAAAACCTCCGTATTTAAAAAAATTTTTTCTTTTTATCATATTTGACTTTAAATTTAACTGAAACTTCACGCTATTAGTTTAAAAAGAATTAAACTGAATAAATTATATTGAATAACACATTAATTTAGTAAAAATTAATCACTCAGGAAAAGGTTCAAAAAATTTGACACTGCAGTTCCTAATAAACTTTTAAAGTATATTATTCATGTTAAAGTATATTATATTATAATAATAATCAGAAACCTCAAAATTGATATATCTGATTATATACAGTAACTTTAATTTTTCTCAAACTACCCATCTCAAATTACGATATTCGTTGTACGAACTTTAAAATTTGAGAACGAAGTAGATTCTTTTTAACTTTTTTTTCATACGCTAAAATTATGTATTTGAGCTATATACATATATAAAAAATTATTCCCATACTCATATCATATGACCATTGCGGTCATGTCTTTTTAACCTCCACTATATTTGTTAAGGAACTGATTATAGAAGCGACAAGGTTTATGGCTCAAAGCCATACGTCTGCATCTAAACAGACGACTAACTGGTTCTCACTAGTTCCCACAGTAGTACCAGTATTTTTTGAATGATTCGTATAATACAAAACAGCTCATTATTATTGCTAAATTAAACAATTTTTATACTATTAACATATTTGTAATCTAACCTCTAATAAAAGTCATTATTATTTATGACAAATTGCTATTTTTCGAGTAGCTTAATAATTCCGTCGGTTTAGAACTTCTGTGATGTTGGGGCTAAAAACTTGTGTAACTAATTTTCACGGCTCTTAGATTGGGCAACTCTTTACCATTAAGAGAGTATTGCAGCGACTAAACGAAACTTCTTTCCGGTTGGCCAATTCTAGTTACTTTTTCTATATTGTTTCATTTATTCGTCTCAATTTTGAGCATCAGAGGACTTAATTATCTGTTGTACAAGAAAAAAAATTCCCTTCCAATCTCACCTAACACTTAGCATATCCTTGCAGGCCGTCGATCCAGGATTTCTACAAGAGCAAGGAATTATACAAGTGCTTTCACAAAAAAATGTCATTATCGGGTAGATTTATCAGATATGCTGATTCCAACATCATGTTCAATATAAATTCTTTTTATATTAAAAAGAAAACTCCTTAAATCAATTTGGTAATAATCTGTTAACAATATAGTCTATTTCACGGAAAAAATCCATTTATTACGATATGTGTATTAATTAAATAATAAGAAGTTGTATTTATATCGCAGAGCAGGACTCTTAAACCACAACTAAATTAGAGATTTTCCCAATTAATGTAGACCCTTGATTAAAAACCGACTATCTAGTTAGTTCTGTTATAGAGTTGTTGTATAACCGTAAACTTAATTTCATATACATTAGACACTTGATTAAAAATCTATTATCTATTTAGTTCTGTTGTAGAGATGTACTCGTAAAACCATAAACTAAATTTTATATAATTTTTTGTAAAAGTTTTAATTAAAAACTTATTAAATATATTTTGAATTCTAAAATTTAATATAATAGAATAAAATACTTTTCATTTAATATAATACTTACTGCATTAGAGCTATTGTTCAAAACGTATAGAAGTCGACAAAAGAAATTAGTTCCTATCCTTAAGTAAATAACTTTTGAGATCATATATATTTTGTTTTATTTTTTCTCCTTATGTTGTACTTATTAATTCAAATCGATTGTCTTCGAATTTACTCCATTGGGCTGTATCAAATGTTGAAAAGTTGATGATGTACATATAGTTTTTAATGACACTATTGTTACAGAAGAAACAGTAGTATTCGGTTACCAGGAATAGAGTTTTAATACCCCATTTTAAAAGTTGTCAGTTCTTTTATCACCATTGTGGTCTACTCTAAATTGACACTAAATTATATTAAAAAGTTTTATTTCAACCAAGTTAGCAAATACATTTGCGAGGTTTCTAATAGTTTTGATCAGAAAAATTCTACCATATTACCCGAGTATATAAGAGTATTGCACACCGCCGGCTGATACGTTATTTAGTGTAGATTTCTATAACATAAACTTTGACCTAAAGAATTGTAAAATAGAATTCCAATTATAACTATTAGATTATTTTGTGATTATAGACTCCAGCACAGTTTTGCCTACTCTACTACTCTAATAGTGATTTATATTGTATATATTGGAGGAACTAAATATAATTCTTACTCCTAAATTTACTATACACTATTGGAAAATTCGACTTCAAGTAACAAAAAAAAAACGTAAGGCTTGATAGTAGAAGCTAAAAGAAATTTTTTTTTATATTTTAAATATATTCTTATAAAAGTTTACTACTAGTCTTAATACTTAAGTAATGTATTAATAGAAATTCGTAGTTAACCGGACATAATTAAATTTGACTTGGTTTTGATTTGGTTTTGGGCTTAAATATTTTTGCTATAATTAACAGTAACTATATTTAATAATATATCAAAAAACATTCACATAAACGTCACTCTAGTTCCAATATTTTGATGTTGATAGAATATCAACGCTTGTTTTCTGCGCTTGTTAAAAGCGTGAATATGGGAACCTAATATATATTATAATGAAAACCAGTTACAAATTTATAGCAAGGTTACCATTTGAGTTGATTAAAACTAACAACGAGATAGTTCACAATTTTATCTCATCAGCATAAAATGATAACAGTTGATACTGTATTGTATGCTGTCAAAATAAGACAATACATTTTTAAACGGTACCTGAAAAATGGGTTCCAATGAAAAACACCAGTCTAAATTCGTATATATATGAATATGAAGTTGATTGTTGTATGAATTTATTGTTACGTTGTGTGTTTGGAATTCTTTCTATAAGCCCTGATAGTGTATAATTTTTATTATTATTTCATTGGATCTGGTGCAAGTTATTGGTCAATGTAGGTATGATGAAATAATCATCGCACTATCCAGACTTAGGCCTATGAGATTTGTTTTGGAAAACTTATATATGTGTTGGTAAGCATTTTAAGACAATTAATGCCGTCGCTTAAGCATCTTAAGTCCATTTCAAAGCCAGCTTACGGAAAAAAAATTTTCTTTACTAGATCAAAACCGATCTAGTATAGGTATAAAATCAAAAGCAGACAACATATACCTTTATTTATAAGTAATTATTTTATTAACAAATTTCATAAAATTTTAACAGAATGTAAACGTTTATAATATATTTTTACTAAAGTCATCGCATAAAATACTTAATATAGTTATATTTTTATTATAAAAAAAGATGAAACCGTTCCTTAAAATATAAATTTATAAATTTTTTTTAACACTTCTAGCCTTAAAAGTAGCCTTAAAGTGTATTATTCCTTCATTGATAATATTTCTAATTTTCCACTCCTTGATGTTGTAAGATTAATAATAATGTTTGACTAGCAAAAATGAAGTTCTTTTTACTAACATAATTTTTTTTAATATTATTTTTTTTTAATGTAATTTTTTTAAAGCATTTTTTTTTAATCTATTAATCTATTTTTCATATAACTAACAGCAGTAGTAAAAATGTTGAACGAACATTATCCGGAATGTCGCACATTACCGGCAATCAATGAAACATTTCCTCAATTTAGTCGCCGCCCTCTCTCGCATTTGTTATCGCCACTCGATTTGTCGTTACGTGCTACAAACGTTATACCAATAACGCCACCGTCAACACCGTCTCCACCTCGAAAACGCTCGAGATTGATGTCGGAAGAAAATTATTTGTGGCGTCCACAGATACCAGGAATACCGTCGCAGCTACCAACAACAACAGCAACAACAACACTGGCAAATGTTTGCTCTAGTGTTGGTGGTTACTTTAGCAATCTGAACTATGTAATGCGGGATGGGACATCACTTCAAACAATTACCGGCAGTGACTATAAAAATAATTTGCACAGCACAAAAAATAATTTTGTTGAAATGTCAGATTTGTCAAGAATACCAATGCTAGTAACAATACCATCGAAGCAACAAGAACAACAACCAGAAGACCCACAAATACAACAAGAACAACAGGAATTAATAGCCCAGCCTCACAATAGCTTCGATACCATTTATGTGGACGATGAAACAATTGTGTTGACCGAGGATGAAGAAAGCCAAACACTTGTCAGTTCACATGACTACAATGAAGATGCTGATGGTGATGATGATGGCGATGAAGATGAAGATGCTGTGGGTGATGTAGATGTTGTTGGTAACGACGACGATGATGATGAATTAAATCCTGTCAACATTTTACGTCTACAAAGCCAAGCAGTCAGTGTCGAAAATGAAAACTCCGACAAAGTATTAACACGTAATCAGTTAGTCTATGAGAATGAAGAACTACACAATCAAGCCATCGACGGTTTGGCAAAGTTGTTTGATAGAGACTTCCAGCAGCTGCACAACAAAGAAGAAGTCGAGAATGAGAGTTTGATAAGTAAATATGCGTCAGAAAAAACTTACACAGAATTAATTACGCGTAAAAATACAGCGGCAACAGAAGAAGAAGTACCACAGGTCAAGGAGCAGCCACAACAGGAAGAAGGTTATTCTATTCCGTTGCCACGTACTCCTTGCTTGAAGCCACATAAAGCAGAGCGAAAACGCATGAAGTTGCGTAAGCATATGTCCTTAGACGAGGAAACTTTAAGTCCTGTCTCAGGCACTATAATACGAAAACTGCGCGATGATGAGGAATTGGTTGTGCGTAAAGGTGACATTGATCCAGCTTTTAATGTGGTCGAAATAACTGAAGAAGCAAAGGCGATTTTGGCCAGCATTGATAATAAGATTGGCGCGTACTTATGTCAACTATGTCGGACATTGTATGATGACGCATTTATGCTGGCACAACATCGTTGTCCGCGTATTGTTCATATAGAATATAAGTGCTCCGAGTGTGAGAAGGTAAAACCGTATGAAATTTATTTCTATTGAAATAATTTATTGTATACTACTTTTGTTACATCGTTAAGGTATTTAATTGTCCTGCAAATTTGGCTTCACATCGACGTTGGCACAAGCCAAAGTCAGAGTTATTACCGAACAACCAACATAAGAAGCGGCATGAACATTCAAACAATCAGAATATAATACATGATAAGAGTCTTAGTGAGGATGGAACAAGCGACGGCATTTTTCCATGTTCACAGTGTGGTAAAACATTTCGAAGGTAAGCTTATAAGTTTTTGGTATTCACTAACTTTCTTCAACAGGTATATTTATTTATTTTCAGACACGCTTATCTTAAGAAACATCGCGCCTCACATGACATGTTGCAGAATTTAAAAAATTTGGATATATTCAAAAATACAGCAAGTGGTAATAGTTTCGGCAATGCTCACAGTTCTCAACAGCACTCATTTAATGCTATGACCCATACAACAAATCGTCCTGGTCTTTATCATGGCCCTGGACAACATCATTCAACTAAGCCTTATGCAGCACGTTTTGGACCTTTCGGTTTTCCACCATTCGATCAGAGACGTTTATATACTTTAAGTGAGTTTTATCTATCACAACAGTTGGATCGTTCCTCAGCTTTTCAGTATGTGCAAGCAAATCATTTGAATAACCTGAGTTCTGCAGTTAATAATTATTTACCACGTCCAATTGCTCCGACATTATTACCCGCTACTGTAAAATGACCGAAAGCTTTACGTCCAATGCCGCGCATGGCGCTATCTTCAACCGTTACCTCTAGCATGAGTGTTAGTTCCGATGCAATGAATGTACCGGCGGCTCCAGAACAAACGTCTACAAGTTTGGGTAATATTGCTGGGACATCATCGACAGCTGATACATTTAATTGGGTTAATAACAAATCGTCGATGAGTGCAGATATTGTTAATAATTTAAATAGTTTTTAAAGAAAAAGTTTAAAAAATTCAAAATATAGAACAATTTTTCAAATACTAGTTAAATTATGGAAAATCTAAATAAATTAATTTTAAATTATTTTACATTTTTTTATGTACAGTTTGAAGAAATATTAAAGATAAATATTAAGATTGAAATTAAAACAATTAATTACCATCGAATTTGTTAGAATGTTGTTAGAATTATATCATGTTCCCATTGCAGCTTAAACTACTTGTCTTAATCAAGTTACTATTCGGCCCTTCCATTAAATTCAGTTGATATATTTATAATGATCTGATTCATATGAAAGCTTTTTGTATAGAAATTATCCTCATTAAAGGCCTTAATAAGCAGCACGCCTAAATGAGACAAGTGGAAACATAAGTATAAGTATATATAAGTATAAGTATATAGAACATAAGTATAAGTATATAGAATTGTATGTCTTATGTCAAGAAATCTATTTCAAATAGAAAAACGGCGATGATAGTGAGGAAATTTTTAAAATCTAAGGGTGTATATAAGTGTCTTATCTAAGAAAATAAGCTTGTCATTATAGTTCAGGACGTTTTTTTTAGGAACTTCTTAAAAGCCTTTATTATCAACGCTTCGCGTTATGAACCAATAATAAAATACCGGAAAAATACACTATATAAAGATGTATATGTATCAATTTTAAAAGAACTATATGAAACCGTAGTTTTCCTATTACTGAACCTGTAATTATAAAACTGGGTCCCAAAAAAACAGAGATTTTAGATCGTAATATTGAAAATAAATATTGTATGAAAAATAAAGTTTACTACTGTATTATGGAAACACTGGAATTCTGGCGCTAAAATAGCTTTTATATTAGCGAATGTTTTTTTACAATCGATTTATAACAATAGGTAGAAATCATATACCATTTCATTTCATATATCATTTCAATAGACCCTGTAAACTGAATAATCGTCCTAGAGCTCTGAAACTGATATCTTAGCGGGAACAAAATTACCATTAGATAGTGTTTTCTATTTCTAAAGTTCCTGAAATAATAGGTAAACACATCTTTAAGAGGCAGATAATGGCTTAAAGATCCTAGTGTCATTACATCATTGTGTCATTAATTGTCTTACTTACTACTCTAATAGCCCGGTTCTAAAGACCTTTTGTGTAGAATCAATGACGGAATAACTGTGTATGTATACCTAGCGTAAGTAGTGTTACTTCAAAATTAAACGTTTCAATGCTTTTTTTTTTGTGCTCATATTTATTTAAATTAAATAAAAAAGTATTTTTTATTAAAATATAGTTATTATTAAATATATATAATATTATTTAACATTGATAGTTTTTTTAAATATACCTCCATGTCTGAAGTAGTTATTAATCTCAATTTTAAAAAAACACTACGTATATAATAATTGCTTTTTAGTACTGTAAATATTTTTTTAATTCTAATAACTTTTAAAAATTCTTAAAATTACATTGACTTTGAAAATGGACCCATTTTTAAAGCATAAGATATGACATGTGCCATATAAGTCTCTTCATGCAATCCATTAAGTAGATAAGCCGAAGGACCTGTCAATAAAGGAGATGTTACAAACAAATTAAATTAAAATCTTTATTGAAACATACCTTTTGCATAAACAATAGTTTCAGTTGCTTTATTAGTTAAAAATGTACTAAAACCTATATCAGGGAATTCCTTATATAAACCCGTCATTTCTTCATATAAATCAGATTTGATATTTTCTTTGGTAATACTATTAAAAACGGTCAAAACTAATGTGTCTGCAAAATTTAAGCTAAAATTAAAAAAAAATATTAATAATTCAAATAAAATTTAATATATATTTTAATTTTAGTAGGTTTTAAAGTTTTTAAGAAAATTTACATGTTGTGAAATTGAGGAATTACCATATATTCAGATAGTTAAAATAAATGGTTTCCAGTGTATGCATTTTAAAATTAAACAAGATATGCTGACTTCCGCTAACTACTCATCAGATTATTAAATATATGTTTTTATGACCATGTCGTCAGCTGTCGGAAAATTGTCTCGTTTAACACTGCTCTGTTTTAGATCACTTTGACATCCATCAAATAAAATCACTGTCTACTATCTGCAAGAATTATCAAGTTTTCAGTCAGCGGATTAAACGCAGTGAGACGACTTGATTGCTCTTCGACATTTTTGTGCAAAACTTATCACTTATAATCCTTTCGATTGTTTAATCTGTTGTAACTTCACTGTTAGTGCAATTTTAGTGCAATTTAGTATTTTATATGGCTTAACAAATAAAGTGGTATTTGATTCGATATATGTATTTTTGAAATATAAAGCAACCAAATTTGACAGATCAAGATTTAATCTGGGTTGAATCCAGATTTACCAATCGAAAACTCTATAACTTTTATATAAAATGTCTACTAATCTACTCTTATAGTAGTTTCAAATCCAAAAAGGTTGAGTAATATAATCCTGCAGTAAAAGTACGTATGGGGACCCATTTTTAGTTTCTGGAGCAACTGATTGTAGAACTATTTATTTGGATAAACGTTTAGAGAACTTCAAAAATATTTCACGTTTTTTCCATTTTTTTTCAAAAAATACTTGCTCTTAAAGGAATAAAAATAATCTGACATAAATGAAATAAAGTAATATGTATTAAAATGTACATATCTCGAATGTACATTGTAGATCTCGAAACGATCGAATTTTTAAAACTGTCTCAGTGAAGCAAATATTATTACTATTATTGCAGTCCCAAATGTAGTTTGAGACTTACACAGAACTGACACAACCTCCAATAATAATACAGACATTATATAGATCAGTTATAATACTATTGGCGTATTTACCCTTAACTGTCTTTGGTAAATTAGTTGGTTTGAATGAAAAACTTTTAAAATTTTATTAAGTCGCCTATGACCAGTTATGCTTATTGTTCAAAGTAGAAATCCCTTAAGAAATCGACACTTCATTACATGCACCCCGACAGTGACACAATAAATATTGAATAATTTTCCAAAATTTCTGGAAAAGACGCTTGTTCTTATAAAAAAAAAATGTATTAATTAAAAATGTATTAAAAATGTATTAATATGCATAGAAGAAATTTGTTTTAGGCTACATTAATAATAGTGATAATTAATAATAATAATTAATAATAGTGATAATTAATAATAGTGAAAGAAAACATGTTCTATGATATATAACATTACAATATATTATATAAATTTACTTACCTGCTACTTTTCGTACTTTCTGCAATCAGTTCATCGAGTTCTATTAGGGTTTTTAAATCCGTTTCAACATCAGAAGGTAATAGATCACCTGTTTCTACAACGAGTAAATATCCCCGTGCATTGCGCTTGAGCACATCTAATGATTTATTCATCATTAATTTAAGTGTAGGCATTTGGTATGCAATATTTTTTGAGTTCATATCACTTTTAATGTAATTATTTGTGAATATACCCAACAAGTAATCAGTTTTGTTATCACTAAATTCATTAAGATCTTGAGCATTCATTAAGAGTTTGTGGTGAAGATTCAGGGTTTGCTTTTGCTGCTGCCAATCTCTTAAAAGATTTCTTCCGTCTACTGAATTACAAACATCCACATCCACTTTGTCAAACTCATCAATTGAAGAATTTGTGACCATCGTTTGACGTCCTCCACCCATAATGACATTTAATTTTTTACCCGTTTCACTTAAAATCAATTGTTGTGCAATGTCCCAACACTTTTGAGTGAGTTCACCTTTTGGCATTGACGCATCGCATTCCCAATTAGTATCTGGCGTATGTGCATACAAAGCTGCTATTATCGGTCCAGTGACACGATTTTCTGTAATAAAACCGGTATTCAAACCCTTATCCTGCGCGTGTGCGAGTACACTTTTGATGTGATGTGTTTGATTAGCTGCTGCTGTGCAGTTTTGAAATGGTACCGCTGTATCCAATCCACCAACCTTATCATTCGTTTGCACACCACCAAACAAAGCAGTTGCCCTGGTAAAAGGATCACATATCTTTAAGTGATTGCAGTTACTCTATAATATATATTAAGATCTTTATTAGAATGGATTCAAGTAAAATTAAATTGACTACAATTTTATACTCACCTTTAAACGTGCCATGTACGGAAATTTCTCCCAACTTAATTCTTTGATCGTTTCATTTTGATTTAAGAATCTTACTGCAGCAAGAGACGTTGGATGTATACCATTGACCACAAAAATAATAACATTTTTGACTTTGGTATTACCGTTTTCTAGGCTGAGTGTAGCTTCCAATTCTTTAATCCCCTTATCGAACCAAATTTTTTGCTCCATTGTCAATTTATCCTTCCAATAATGTACACTGGCTACATTTGAAACATCAGTATCTACTTCATAACGCATTAGAAAACCAATACAAAATATGGTTATTATTAATGTCATTAAAATAATTGAAGCCACAATAAATATTTGAGAAGATTTTAAAGTCTTCTTCCCAAAGACGTGAAACGATTTTTCACCCTCCATGCGGATTAATAAAAACAAGTGTAACATTCAAGTTCTAAAATACCACTGATCTATATTTCTGTCTATCATTGTTAATTCATCATTTCCAGTTAATAGATCGTAAACAAAAGCAGATACTTTATCTAAACAACACAGATACTATTGCAGTTAAACACATTTTTCACTCATAATAAAGATAAAAACATTTGCGCTTTTGTTTATTTTATTTTTGATTTACACTTAAAATAATAATAAAAGTGTCATTAAAAATAAATGTTTATTATAAACATTAAACGACTATTTACACATTCTGATCAGTTCAGTTACAATTTGGTATCTAATTTAAATGAGTTTCTATACATGATGAAAAAGTATCTTAAAGTATTTATATGCGTATTTAAAGCTTTATTTTCTAAATATTTTGATAATCAGAATGTTAGAATTGGGGAAGAATATATGTTTATATTCTTCATAAAAATTTATTACTCCAACTCATCTATCAATGTCCACCATTAGCTAGGAATAGATGGAAAATCGTTGAACCCCTTTTTAACTTGACCGAGTATATAGACTTGTCAGTTTGATTCACTTTCACTAAGATGAGGGACTTTTTCTTGTTGTAGTAGGGATTTGAAAAGCAGATAACATGTAAGAATTACAAGACAAAGACATGGACTGGAATGTGGATAGGCGACATGTCAAGTAAGGAAAGGGGGAAGAAGAAAGGATACAATTGAAATCAACCCGGGTTCAGCCGCAGAAATTTAGTCATTGCAAGAGAATGAGTCTAAAGGTCAATCGGACTAAGAGTAGTGTGGTTAGAAGGAAAAGCGACCAGATGAGCGACGTCATAGGGAAAAAGGAAAGTTATGCATTTCAGCATTGTTGGTATGCTGACATTGTTTTTACGGTTGTGGCTCTTCTATTCCGTGATATATTAACAGACCATTATTTGTACACAAGACCGCCACACCAACCTAACATAACTTAATATCTGTTAAAAAATTATTTTTAAATTTCAAAGTTAATTTATTTTATTTCTTGACATTTTTTAATTTGCTATTTATAAATATATATTTTTTATATTTATTTTATTTTTATTTTATTACTATATATATCTCTATGTTATATAATTGAGATACAAAATATCTATTAAAAATTATTTTTAATTTTAAAACTTTATTAATTTTATCTTTTTAATTTGTTTTAGTTTTCATTTATAAAAATTTATATATATAGATCATTTTTTTATCTCATTTTTTTATATCAATTTTTTTATTTTTTTTTATCCTTATTCAAAAATTGTCACAGGTATGTCAATGGTATATTCATATTTTATGTATCACAAATTAACTATTTTTATAAAACTATAGAAGAAATAAAATTTGATTGGATTTTTAAAGTCAATTATGACGAAAAAAGCTTTGTTGTTTCATAGAATCTATAGTTTTAATAGAGAAGTATTTTAAGCAGTAATAAATTACAACAATTAATATTTCTTATTTATTTATTTATCTGGTAGCGTACGAGTTCAACCCTCGGTACTTGTTATTATTATTATTATTTTATTTAATCCTTTTATTCCTAGGTGGAACAGAGGGCCGTAACAAATAGTTTCCATTGAACTCTATCTAATGCAAGACGTTTTGTTTCACTCCAGCTCTTTCCAGCATTTCTTAATTCGGCTTCAGTTTGTCGTTTCCAAGTGTTGCGCGGACGCCCTGGTCTTCTACTGCCTTTAGGGTTGAAATCTAAGACATTTTTTGCGATATCATCAGCGGGTTTTCTTAACGTGTGGCCAAGCCATTTGTATTTGCGCATCATTATTTCATCAGTTATAAGAGGCTGATTCGTTCTAAACCAGAGCTCATTATTGGTTAAGGTTGCTGGCCAGAATACATGAAGGATGCGTCGTAGACAACGATTGGCAAAGGCTTGTAGCTGTTGTGCGTCTCTTGCCGTTAGGTTCCAACTCTCACTACCATATAGTAAAGTTGATTTTACGTTTGCATTGTACAGGTGTATCTTAGTGCGTTGTGTGATGTTGGATGAACGCCAGATTTTGTTAAGGGTTCCAGACGCTTGCTTCGCTTTCGATAGCCTGTACTGTATGTCTTGCCGACTGCCGCCGTTGTTCGAAATGTAGCTTCCCAGATAGCAGAAACTTTGTACATCTTCGATGTAGGAGCCATCTAGTTGAAACTTCGTTAAGCAGTTTGAATTGAGACGCATAGACTTGGTTTTGTTGATATTGATTGACAGACCAGCTGCCAATGCACGCTTTGCGATGTTGTTTAACGATATTTGCATCTGGGAAAAGTTATGCGTTAGTAAACAGATGTCATCAGCGTAATCGAGGTCAGTAACTTTGTTATGAAGGCCGAATGATATGCCATGATTTGTGCTCATAGCTTCCGACATAACCACATCTAAGACTATATTAAATAGTATAGGTGAAAGAATGCAACCTTGTCGGACGCCAGACTTAATTTGGATTTGCCCGCTGAGACGCCCTTCGTGAAGTACTGAGCAGTGCGCGTCAGAGTACAAGCCTTTTACTAAATTTATTAATTTACTCGGTATACCTTTACACTCTAATGCATACCAGATGGTGGTATGGAGAAGTGTATCGAATGCACGTTTAAAGTCGATAAACAGCAAGTATAGGGGAGATCGCCATTCGCTAGACTGTTCGACTATTATTCGAAGGCTGTTTATGTGGTCGGCACATGATCGATTATGCCTAAATCCTGCTTGCTCGGCTCGTAGTGTAGGCTCAGCGGCCGAAGTTAAACGTTTATGTAAAATTTGAGCAATAACTTTATAAGCTACATTTAGTAAAGTTATGCCTCTCCAGTTGGAGCATTCCATCAGGTTACCTTTCTTTGGTATATTAATAATGATGCCGTCTTTAAGATTAGGCGGTAATGACTCTTGGGACCAGAAGTTGTTGACAATTGGTTGAATAATTTGAGCAGCTGAAATTTTGTCTGCTTTGAGCAGTTCGGGGGCAATATTGTCCGGACCAGCGGACTTACCTGCTTTAAGCTGAGTTATTGCTGCCTCAATTTCACTGATGTTAGGTACATCTGTGTTTATATCGTTGCGAGCAATATGTTCGTGGTGTCTACTACATAGTTCCTGCTGAGGATAGGTGTTGTTTCCCGCTAGGAGATTTCTGTAGTGATCTTCCCAAACTTTTAGCTGATCTTCGGTAGAGTGTACTAGTTCGCCTCTGGTATTTTTTATTGGCTTTGCAATCCTGTGTTTACGTCCCACCATAGCTTTAGTGATGTTGTGTAGGTCTTTGAGCCTATGTGATTCGCTTGCTTTTTGGGCTTCTGTTGCTAAATTGTCGAGCCATCTGCGCTTATCGGCTCTAGCGCTGCGTTTAACTTTGCGGTTGGCAATACTGTAGTTGGCTTGTGCCTGCTGCTTTGTTTGGCGCGTTCTTGCCCTGTTAACCTTTTCTTTTTCTCCTTTGCGCGCTTTTATAAGATTCCATGTATGTTCGGTGATCCACGGATTACTTTGACGTTGAGGAATACCGACACTTTGTTGTGCTGCTTCAGTGAAGGCACATTTTGCATGTTCCCAATAAGTTTCGGCTTCAAAGATTTCTTCTTCTAGTGGCAAGGGATTAGGGATTTGGGCCGATAAAAGAGATTGATAGTTATTTTGAACAGTAGGGTTGTCGAGTTTGGCGAGGTCGAACCGTTTCCTTTTGAATTGTGGCTTTCTAAAGACCGCATTTAATTTGAGTTGTATTTCACCGATTAGTAGATGGTGGTCAGAAGTCATGTCTGCACTTCTTTTATTTCTGACATCACATAATGAATGTCTCCACATTTTGCTGATGGCAATGTGGTCGATTTGATTTTCTGTTGCATTATCTGGGGAAACCCAAGTGACTTTATGCAAATGTTTGTGCGGGAAGAGACTACCTCCTATGGTGAGGCCCATGGTGTTACATAATTCATAGAAACGCTCCCCATTATCGTTCATTGTGCCGAGAGCATGTTTACCCATCACTTGCTTTCTTCCATTGTTATCTGGCCCGATTTGTGCGTTGAAATCTCCCATGACGAGCTTTATTTCACCTCTAGGGCATTTATTTAAAACAGAGTATAGGGAGTCATAAAAATTTTCCTTGATTTGTGGGTCGGTGACTTCAGTAGGCGCGTAACACTGTATGCATGTGAGGGTTCTGGCTCGAGTTTTAAATTTTGCCAGAATTATTCGGTCGCCATGTGGTTGCCATTCTATGAGCGCTTGTT